TTAGTATATTACTAATATAATATATTAATATATTATTATTATTAATTTATTATATATTATAATTTATAAAATTTAATTTTTCAAAATATCATAAATTTTTTATACATAATTATTTTAAATTATTTTATATTTTCGAACAATAACAATTCAAACAAGAACGAAGACATCACTGTTTGTGTTTGATTCATTTAACTAACCAAACGAAAAAAATTTATTTACGTTCGTCTCGTTTCCTTTCGAACGAGTCGAACACGAACTGTTCGTGAACAACGGGCTTTTTTGACAGCCCTAGCTATGTTGTTCGAATGAACTTATTTATTTATTGAGGCATTTACATACAAACCCACACGATTATTATGTTTTTGCATATCCAACACCTAAATTTAATTGTTTATTTTTATACCACCTAAATTATTCATAGTATATTAAAAATACCACTATTTTAATATTTTCATGCACAGGTAATGAGTCGCATGGTTAGAAATTGAAGTTTAGGTGTATATATATATACATATATATAGTGTAAATACATAGGAATAATTATCCCATAAAATAATAAAAAAAAACCTTTTAACATGAAAACAAAAACTACAATAATTATAAAATGCTATTTTGTGTTACGTGACAGCGCATAAACACATCTGATATCTTATTAACACAATATATATTGTAGTTGTATAACAAATTGTATAATCTTTTATTAAGATTAGTAAGATTTACATAAATACCACACAATTCCCAAGCACTTCACCGTGCATGTAAAATGTGGTTCACCTTTTAAATGTTAAAGATATGGGCGTTTATGTCATAATGTGAATGATTTAAGAGTTATAAGTATAAAAATCAAAGTTTAACCATTAGATATGTAAATAAATAGGAATTGTGCGGTATGTACGTAAATGTCCCGTAAAACCCATCATCTAATAGCTGTAAAATACTGTTTTAAATAATAATCTCATCAAGAATAAGGACATTTTGGTAAATACAAGCAAAGAATAGAGGCACAGATTTTCAACGGAAATTTACATACATGCCACACAATTCCTATGTATTTACATATCTAACATTCAAAATTTGAGATTTACACTTATAGCACTTGGGTGTCGTAAAACAATGCATGCACGGTATTTCACTTTTAAAAGGATAACAATGCGGACATTTTTATGTGATTAAAGATTTGTAGGGCATGCATGTAAATACATAAGAATTGTGTGGCATGTAATTTACCCTCATACCACACAACTCTTATAAATTTTACATAACCTAACACCCAATTTTTGATATTTACAATTATAACACTTCGGTGCATGTAATTGTGCATTTCACTTTTAAAAAAATTATGATGGCGGTATTTTTAGGTGATATTAAAAATTGGAGTGGCATGCATGTAAATATAAAAATTTAGATGTTAGATACCTAAACAAATAAGAACTGTGTGCTATATACGTAATTGCCCCAACTTTCTCAAGAAATTTACATACATACCACACAATTCCTATGTATTTAGATATATGACACCCAAACGTCAGTTTTTTAACTACCATGTCTGCATTTCACTTTCTAAATGTTAAAATTATAGTATTTTTTTTACGTGATATGAAATAATTGCGTGATATAAATGTAAAAAAATAAAATTTTAAGTCTTAAACATGCAAATAATAGGAATTAGGTGGTATGCATGCAAATGCCTCAATTTTCAAAGTAAAATTAGACATCTCTAACAGCATTATCAGCACCGTCCTCCCCAGCAAGCTTTATCCTCTTATAATGTTCATCAACCTTGAAGCTCACCATCTCCATGAACAAATTCGAGTCCAGAACACAGTCCGGACTACCATAGACGGCGGCGCGAATACTCGCCATAAGTTTTGCAATCTCCCTTCCAGAAAATCCCTTCGTCCTCCTCGCTGCTTCTCGAATATCGTCGTCGCTCACACCCTTCAGAACTATCTTCTGCTGCGGCTTACTGAACCGAGAACTCCATGAGGATGATCTGGGATCTGATTCGGAAGAAATATATTGATTCAGGTAGAGTTTCAGGAGCTGGAAGCGTTCTTCTTCGCCGGGAAGGGGGAATTCAATTACTTCATCGATTCGATCTGTGACTGCTGGATCGAGATCACCGGGTCTGTTTGTCGCGAGGACGAGAACTATGTCTCTGGATTGATCGCCGGTGCGGAAGAGCAGCGCGTTCAGAGCGCTCCGCTGAGCTTCGCTCATGTGTATGTTATTTCTCCTGCAAAACCAATGGAGATTGGAATAGAAGGATGATACATGTTCAGAAATATTTTGTAGGATATAACGCTCAATCACTATGTATTTACATATCTAACAAGCAAACTTCAATTTTTAGGTACATACCACCTTACCTATGCATGAAAGAGGTGTATTTACACATAAAACACCCAAACAAAAGAAAGTTTTCACATACAAACCCACTTAGCTAAACATTTAAGTTTTTACATGTGATATGAAAGATTTAGGGGGTATAAATGTAAAAGAAAAAGTAAAGTTGAAGTGTTAATACGTAAATACAATGGAATTAATTGCTCATCTTTTTTAGCACATGGAAAGAGAAAAGGAGCAGGAAGCACAGACTATTCGATAACACATATGAAATGAAGATGGTGATGAAGATAAGGAGAGCGCAGATGGGAACATATATGAGTGAAGTGCCAAAGCTATTTAACAGAGATCATTTTAGTCTCAGAGTCTATAAAAATGTCAAAATTAGTCGTTAAATTTTTTTAATATGGGCTGAAATAGGGGTGTATACAAGTTGAGTCGAGCTCGAGCTCAAATGACAAACTCAAGCTCGACTAAGAGTGCTAGCAACTAGCTCGCAAGCTAGGACAAAAATTATAATTTTTACGGGAGCTCACTAGAGAAGGTATTTGTGTTAGGAGGAGAAGTTTACATTAGAGTCTAAAGACTTTCGTTTGAGTACTGAGTACATGAAATGTAATTTTAGCAAAAATGGATCTAGTGGCAAAGTTGTAACAATATGTGATCAAATCATTAAAAGAAGTGAACGTTTTAGATATCTCGGGTCAATTATTCAAAGTGATGGTGATATAGATGGGGATGTTATTAGTAGAATTCAAGTTGAATGATTGAAGTGGAGGAATGCATCGAGCATATTGTGTGATAGAAAAATACTGCTTAGACTTGAAAGGAAAATTTTATAAAATGGCAGTGAAACCTACAATCTTTTATGACGCATAATGTTGGCCCATAAAAGAGAAGCAAAAAACAAAATTAAATGTGGTTGAGATGAGAATGCTTAGCTGGATGAGTCACTTGACTCTTAGAGACTAAATGTGAAATGATTGCATCCTTGAAAGGGTTGGATAGCTCCGGTGCCAGACAAGATTAGAAAGAGCCGTCTTAGATGGTCACATTAAAAGCCGACCATCTAATATCCGGTTAGGAGAATAGATATTTTAGATTCGACTTATGAGAAAGGTAGAGGTAGACCTAAATAGACTTGGGCTTGTTAAATAAAAAAATGATATTAATTTATTAGAATAAAAATGAAAATATTATACTTAACAGGCAATAGAGAAAAAAGACTCATGTAGCCACCGCCACCTGGTGGCGGGATGAAGGCTTGTTGTTGTGTTTTACTTACTCAGTATAATTCTAGCCAAACATGAGCCCAAAGCAAATATAACAAGAAAATAACATTTTCAGACACAATCAAACAAGAGTTAGAGCTTTAGAGCTTAACCAGATCGAAAAAGCAAACAAGACAAGCTCAAAAACGCGCAAAGTTTGCTAAAATTTGGCCCACTAACCCCCTTATAGGGGGAGAAATAAAATCATCTATGAACAAAATAGAAACTCTTTGAGGGCCCAACAACCATATTCCATAAATTACGGGAAGATTTACATACATATATATATATATACATATATATATATATATATATATATATATAACTTATCAATTTTTACATGCATAACGCTTTACCTATAGAAGAAAAAAGGTATATTCACTTTTTAAAAGTTTAACTGGCGGTACTTTTGATATGAAAATTTGGATAGTATAAATGTAAAAAACAAAGTTTAGGTATTAGATCCACACACACACACACACACACACAGAAATTGAGTGGTTGGAAGATTTAAGTGCATACGAACTAAATTCTTACGAAATTGAGTGGTTGGAAGATTTAAGTGCATACGAACTAAATTCTTACTTCTAGACTTTACTTTTTGCATTTATACCGCCCAAATCTCTTTTATTGCAAAAAAAAAAAAAAAAAAACCCCCATTTAAAATTTTAAAAAGGGAAAAAAAAGTGAAACACACATTTTAATGCATAAGTAATGTGATATGCAAGTAAAAATTGAAGTTTATAATTTTTATGTTAAATATGTAATTACGTAAGAATTGAGTTGCATGTGTGTAAATCTTTCCAAAAAAAGAGGATATCTACATAAATTGCACACAATTCTTATATATTCACATATCTCACACCTAAACTTGCATATTTACCCACATGGCACTCAAGTCTTTAATATCACATAAGAAAATAACACCATTGCCAAACTTTAAATTGAAATTTACCTTTTCATGCATAATCTAAAGTAACAGAGGGCTCTGCGTGTAAATATGAAAATTTAGGTGTGAGATATGTTGATACATAAGAATTGTGTGCTAGGTATGTAAATTTTAAGGTATGTAAATTTTATTTTAAAAAAAGTTGGATAGATTTGAAAAGCGGAGAATATAATTTAAGAATAAGAACTTACTCGCAGAGGAAAGCGTCAGCCTCATCAATGAAGAGCAGTAATCCCTTCCTTGACTTTTTTGCCCAATCAAAAATTTCATGTATTTTGGTAACAGCTTGTGAACCTAAAGGTGCTACATCTCCTCCCGTCATCATTGCATAATCTAAGCCCTATAAATCAAATGTTAAAGAAAAATCAAAAATTTCAAAAGAGAGACAAGAAAATAAGAAGTGAAAATAAGTTCGGGGGCATTTACATAAATACAACCAAATTCCTATTTATACTTCACTTTTTTACATTTATACCGCTTAAATCTTTCATGTCAGATAAAAAATACCACTATTTTAAGTTTTAAAAAGTGAAATACACATTTTCATGTATAGGCAAGGTGGTCTGCATGTAGAAAAGTGAAGTTTAGGTGTTAGATATGTAAATACATGAGAACTGAGTGGTATGTATGTAAATCTTCCTAAATTTATTTAGGTGAGAACCATAGAGTGATTGTGTTTAGGCTCTTGAGAAATCCTGAAATTGGAGGAGAGACAGAGAGAAAGAGAGAGACTCAATGGGGTTAGAGAGCTTAAAAAATAAGGGATTCAAAGAAGCATCATCTTCCTCTTTGTAATTTGCATGGTTCTCTTATCAATGAAACTTGTGTATTTCCTGTTTTCAGAATAAAAAACCAGATTATCCGACCTCAATCAACCGATGCTTGCTCAACATATTTGCCGGAATTCCTTTCGAGAAAATTTACATACGCAGCGCAAAATTCTTATGTATTTACATATCTCAAACCTGAACTTTTATATTTACATAAATAATATCTTGGTGGTTTAAACTCATGCATCAGAAGATTTGTTTCACTTTTAAAAAATGATAATAGTACTATTTTTTATGTGATATTAAAATTTGAGTGGTATGTTTGTAAATATGAAAGTTTAGGTTTGGATATACAAATACACAAGAATTGTGTGCTACGTAGGTAAATGCCCCTTATTTTTTTATATTCTATCAACACTGAGTAGGTAATGCCCCTTATTTTTTTATATTCTATCAACACTGAAAAATCAAGTTGTTTGCATTAGAGTGATAGATTCAAAGAAAAGCATGGTATATAATGTTGGATAAAAAGTGGCCACAAGAAGATCTTCTGAAGGAAAGGGAAGTCGAGATGTCAGCATCACAAAGATGTACCTCGAGCAACTTGGACAATCAAGTTAAAAGGTATTATACCCTACGAGATACGAAGAAAAAATAAAAAGTGGGATATGTGGGATCAATCACAATTAAACTAATGTAGGACTATACCATAGAGTTTAGGAGATGAGAGTTGATGATTGATGTCACTTAAAAGACATCTTCATGTTGACGATCTAAAATCCAATGAATCCTATTATTCTCTATTAATGATCTTGATCATCCATGCATATTTTTCATGGTCAATTAGAGGGAAAGCAAAAAAAAGATGCAGTGAAACTCTTACTAAAAAAAGGATAGATGAAGGTTGTAGACAATAAAAATTCAAACTAAAAAGATTTAAAAAAATGATTAAGCAACGACCACCACCTCTTCTTCTTTTCACCAAACAATCTCGATTAAGATCATAGCCAAATCACAAAACATGAATAATGGTAAATGTTAGAATCCTCATGCGAAACTCTTCATGGAGAAGCCAAGGTTGTTTGAAGGAAGAATTGGATCTAGTTGTGGTCAAAGATCAAGCATTGAAATCGATGAATTAGTTAGCACTAAGCTTTTCTTTGACGGGGAGAAAAAGCCAAGTATGACAGATAACACTAACAAACACAAATACATATTTGGGGAGTGGAGTTAATCCAAGTGAAGCGGAAAGTGGTTAATGCCATTTTTTACTCAAGGAGTCGGAAGACTCAAATCTCGATGAATTTAGTCACAATATTGTGTTGAGAAGACACATCACCCTTATCTTTACCTACTAGGATAGATTCAAAAGGACTCTAAGATGTGGATTGTCAACAGTGTCACATTCGCTATGGCACCACTCGCTAGTATTTCAATGAAGTGTTGTGTGAAATGATACCTCTCAATATATGCCAAATTATATTAGAAATATCCATGGTTTGAGATATTGTTTTCTATAAAAGGGAACAATGATATCGTTCTTGAAAGAATGTTGTGTGAGGTACAATAACAATAGGATTAACGGTTGTCAGCCTTTGGGCATGGTAATGGTAGCCTTCCCCCTTGTAAATTGCCTAATTCTCATATCAATAAAAGACAAATTGCCAAAATAGTCCCCAGACTATTTACATAGAGCCATTTTACTCACAGAGTTTATAAAAATGCTAAATTAGTCCCAGACATTTTTAATGGATACTAAAATAGACCTCAATGGGAACTGTTTCAATCCATATTAAAAGACCCAAGAGACTCAATTGACACTTTTATAAACTCTGAGACTAAAATGACCTTGCAAAAGAGCTAGGAAACCATTTTGACAGTTTTCTCTTTTAATAAAACTTGAGCACTTATCGCTCCAAAAATAAGTAACTAGATTATCCTACCTCAATATGTAGACACATGCTTGACATGTGCGTTAGATCTCTTTCTGATGTCAAAAAAAGATTAATCAATGAAGTAACAAAAATAATCATAACTAACAATATTATCTTCTTTGAGCTATTAATGTTAAAATATCAATCCTAACTTGCCATTTGTGATTTTGATATGATTTTTGATCGAAAGCATAGAATAGTAAAATATAAGCAATAAAATTTAACTAGACAGGAAAAAACTTTGAAGTGCAATGATTGAATAACTTTATGAGTATATAGTGAATTAAAATGAGAAATCTAACGAATATTTTCAACTTAAAAAATTGAAAAAATTACATACATAACACACAATTATTATGTATTTACATATATAACACCCAAAGTTTGACATTTATACTAATTGCCTTGGTGTCATAAACTCATGCATAAAAGGTGTGTCTCAAATTTAAAAAGATAGTGATAGTGATATTTTTAATGTGATGTTAAAGATTTGAGTGGTATTCATGCAACTATGAATGTTTAGTTCTTAGATATGTAAAAACATAAGAATTATGTGGAAAGTATATAAATGTTCCAAGAAAATATAACTCTCTAAAGCACCAAGCATATTAATAGAGTAATTATGATGCAATAACATACTGATTTTCGTGCCATCTCTTTTGCTACCAGGGTCTTCCCAGTACCCGGTGGTCCGAAGAAAAGCATATTACGAAAAGGTGCTTGATGAGACTTTGTGTTCTCTGTGGCTCTAGCTAGTTGCTCGATCCTCGCTTTTAGTGATGGATGAAGAATAATATTGTCGAAGCTTGTTTTATTTCTCATAGATGTCGAATCCTTATTTGATGTGCTAAAACTCCGAACCTTCTTCGAGAATTTTGAGATAACTCCCGACCATGAATACTTCGCTATGGAGGATTCCCTAATCAGTGATGGCTGGCCCAACATTCTATTGACGTGACCCCACATTACCCTCGCACCTTCCCTTAAAAAAAAATCAAAGAACCAAATGAATTAGTAAAGGCACATTTACATACATAGCATACAATTTTTATATATTTACATATCTCACACCTTAACTTTCATATTTACACGCATAGCACTCAAATCTTCAACTTCACATCAAAAATAGCATTATTATCATTCTTAAAAGTGAAATACACCTTGTCATGTACATGTTTAAAGCGCCAAAGTACCATTTATGTAAATATGAAAGCTTAAGTACAAGATATGTAAATACATAAGAATTGTGTGCCGGGTATGTAAATTTCACAAAAGTAAAACACTTGGAAAAACTCATTTCAGTAAAACTAGAATTAAACAATGACATTTTCATAGTTCAACTTCTATATAAATCTGCAAATATAGATATGAGACTATATGGATATACCTAGTAGCATAAACACCGGCAGCAAGGGCAGTTACCCCTCCAACGGCCATGATCATTTTACTCTGATCAGTCAACAACATTTTCAACCCACCTGTAGAACCCAGGCAACAAATATATAAACAAAAATTTGATCTTCAGTGAATTTAAGTAGACTAAAATATATTTAAAATTTGTTTACAAAATGAAAATAAGTTTGCATGATTTAAATATTGTTACAGCAACCTTACAATAAATCATACTCACTAAAGAATACATAATCATGACTATAAACCACATGCTTCCAAAACTAAATTGACCACAAAAATAAATTAAGCAAAATAAAATGTGGAAGAACTAAAGAAAACTTTAGGTGAATTCTTAAAGAAAGAAAAGAAGAAAACAATTAGCATGTAGAGAAATTATAAGAGGCATTTACATACTTACCACCCAATTCTGATGTATTTACATATCTACCACCTAAATTTTACTTTTTACCAACAAAATCTTCTATATCACATAAAAAATACAACCATTTTAACTTTTAAAAAGTGAAATATGCCTTTTCATGCATAGGGACGATGACATGTAGACGATGACATGCATGTAAAAATTAAAGTTGAGGAGTTAGATATGCAAATGCATAAGAATTGAGTGGTATGTATATAAATCTTTCACATTATAAATATGACTTCATTAGGATGGTTACTTGAAATAAACAACAAAGTCAGGCAGTAATTCATAATCCACTAATCATCAGATAGTATATAATCTGAATACCCAACGTCAAAAGCATCTAAAAAATTTAGGTTGACTAAATAATCCTAAAAAATTATTCAAATTTACACAGAATGAAAAGAAGGATCTAATTAGTGTAATAAATAAAGATAACGGGCGTAGTAGTCCATGAAACTCGTAATGATGTTAGGTCGAGAAAGGACTTAATGTATATAACCTTAATCTTGCATTATATAACCAAAGAGTTGCAATACATGACCAGAATAAGAAGTGGGCATATGAATCGAGTCGATCTCGAGCCACCCTTATCTTGAATTTGAGCTTGACTAATCAATCAATACATGACCAGAGTAAGAAGTGGGCATACAAACTCAAGCTTAATTCTACAAGTTGGAGACGGCTCACGAGTTCGTTGGTGTATTATGAAATAAAGAAAATAATATTAACTTAAGCTAGTGTTATAATAAAATGACGAATAGGATAAGCAATTTGGAGAAAAATAATAAAAAAAAACACTTAATATAAAATGCAAACTATTATTTTTTTGAATATTTTTAATAATTTAAAGATCAAATCTTGAGTTAAAATACCTTTTGAGTATATTTTGTATTAATAATTTTGTAAACGAGCTGGCTTACGAGCTAAAAAGCCGAGTCATGGTTGGCTTGAGCTTAGCTTGTTAACTCATCGAGGTCAACTCACCAGTCATTCATCGAGCAGAGCCTGAGTCAGCTTGGCTCAGTTACATGCACCATGCTTTATTCGGTAGCATCCAATGCTCTACGTGAGATAAAAAAGCAATTATGTACAAGTTTAAAGCGCCAAAGTACTATTTATGTAAATATGAAAGTTTAAGTGCAAGATATGTAAATACATAAGAATTGTGTGCAGGGTATGTAAATTTCACAAAAGTAAAACACTTGGAAAAACTCATTTCAGTAAAACTAGAATTAAACAATGACATTTTCATAGTTCAACTTCTATATAAATCTGCAAATATAGATATGAGACTATATGGATATACCTAGTAGCATAAACACCGGCAGCAAGGGCAGTTACCCCTCCAACGGCCATGATCATTTTACTCTGATCAGTCAACAACATTTTCAACCCACCTGTAGAACCCAGGCAACAAATATATAAACAAAAATATTCTCTTCAGTGAATTTAAGTAGACTAAAATATATTTAAAATTTGTTTACAAAATGAAAATAAGTTTGCATGATTTAAATATTGTTACAGCAACCTTACAATAAATCATACTCACTAAAGAATACATAATCATGACTATAAACCACATGCTTCCAAAACTAAATTGACCACAAAAATAAATTAAGCAAAATAAAATGTGGAAGAACTAAAGAAAACTTTAGGTGAATTCTTAAAGAAAGAAAAGAAGAAAACAATTAGCATGTAGAGAAATTATAAGAGGCATTTACATACTTACCACCCAATTCTGATGTATTTACATATCTACCACCTAAATTTTACTTTTTACCAACAAAATCTTCTATATCACATAAAAAATACAACCATTTTAACTTTTAAAAAGTGAAATATACCTTTTAATGCATAGGGACGATGACATGCATGTAAAAATTAAAGTTGAGGAGTTAGATATGCAAATGCATAAGAATTGAGTGGTATGTATATAAATCTTTCACATTATAAATATGACTTCATTAGGATGGTTACTTGAAATAAACAACAAAGTCAGGCAGTAATTCATAATCCACTAATCATCAGATAGTATATAATCTGAATACCCAACGTCAAAAGCATCTAAAAAATTTAGGTTGACTAAATAATCCTAAACAATTATTCAAATTTACACAGAATGAAAAGAAGGATCTAATTAGTGTAATAAATAAAGATAACGGGCGTAGTAGTCCATGAAACTTGTAATGATGTTAGGTCGAGAAAGGACTTAATGTATATAACCTTAATTTTGCATTATATAACCAAAGAGTTGCAATACATGACCAGAATAAGAAGTGGGCATATGAATCGGGTCGATGTCGAGCCACTTATCTTGAATTTGAGCTTGACAAATCAATCAATACATGACCAGAGTAAGAAGTGGGCATACAAACTCAAGCTTAATTCTACAAGTTGGAGACGGCTAACGAGTTTGTTGGTGTATTATGAAATAACGAAAATAATATTAATTTAAGCTAGTCTTATAATAAAATGACAAATAGGATAAGCAACCTGGAGAAAAATAATTAAAAAAACACTTAATATAAAACGCAAACTATTATTTTTTTGAATATTTTTAATAATTTAAAGATCAAATCTTGAGTTAAAATACCTTTTGAGTATATTTTGCATTAATAATTTTGTAAACGAGCCGGCTTACGAGCTAAAAAGCCGAGTCATGGTTGGCTTGAGCTTAGCTTGTTA